CGGTACAGCCCCCTCCAGTCACATACGCACACCCTCGCCTCCAACTCTTTTTCAGCATCTGATAGGGTCCTATGAGTTATTTGCTGATTAAGTTCTTTGGCCACGAAGAACACGATTTTTCCGCTTCACCATCATTACCTCCAGTGATTGGATTTCCAATCTACGAAAAAACGTGATCACCATGCAGAGAACCTCTAAGGGTCTTCTCTCTTCTGATCTGCACCTTACGCTTTTCCTGCCCTGCCTTCGAGATGTTTCCAACACGTTCTTGAATAACGTTTTTTACCCCTTCTCAGGTGTTTTTGATTTGAATTATGTCAGTCCAGCCTACCCGCAGTCGCTCAACACCTTCTGGAACCACACATATCACAGGCAGTACTAATTTTATCTCACACCTAAATGCACCGCTTTTTTTCCTCCCAAAACCTTGGATCTGTTTCTAATTTCCCCACTATGCTGCTGATTCACACCCATCGCTTTCATCACCGTGAACCTTCACACAAAACGCCCCCCTCGGCCCGAACACATCCCACGACCATACTTAACCCCCTATTTTTGCAGGCTTACACCGCAGGTACACTAAAAACGTATCTTCACAAGAGTTTGGATGGTCCCCCAGTGACAGCATCTGGACATCCGTCTGAGCCCGGGCGACGACCCTGCAGAAACTCATTTGAAGTTGCTTTCCTTATTATTATCCTTGTTCACCTGACACTGCCCACAAAACGAGATTTGTGAATATCGGACTCTACGAGTTTGATCGCGACTTTCTAACATGCTGTGTCGAGGCCGCACACTCACGCATGTTTTAACCTTTCTTCCCTTTTTCCCCCCCTTTTTCCTCCATTTTTCTTCCCCCTCTCCTCCCCCCCCCCCCCTCCTTCCTTTTCCCTTTCCCCCTCCTTTCCCCCCCCCCCCCCTTTCTTTTCCCCCTTTCTCCCCCCCCTCCTTCCCCTTTTTTCCCTTCCTTCCCCTTTTCACGTATACACACAATATCTCTGTGTTCCTAACTGTCACAATTTGGCCAAGTTTGTCATGCGCAACATACTTTTTCATAAATTTTCATTAAATCGAACAGGCATTATATTGGGCTGCTCTTGTAGTCAAACTATCAACAATCACACCCCCCCCCCACTTAACCACTCACCCCCAACATGAACTCACATGGCCTCTACGGACTGCTACAGCTGGCCCAGACTCGGACTCACGACTTAACGGAATTCCATCGGAGCATGACATATCCACCCACTCTCCATTCTGGACACTCTCAAATTCGCGCCCATTTCTGCCACCCCGCCCCGCAAATCACAATCCTGCGTCTACTTGCCATGTCTTTCAGCTTGGATATCTGCACAGGTCGTTTTTCAAACCCAATATTGCCGATTTCCCCGTATTCCCAGCGCACCACTACAAAAGTGCATGTCATCTTCATTTACCAGGCCACCACCAGCACCATCCACACAAACCGCAATTCCCCCCCTCCGGTCCATGCCCCCCACTGATCCATCCTGAGTCAATGCAAAGGATGCCAGCTAAGACCCGGCCCATCTTTTTTTTTTTGTGCATTTTTTTTGTGCTGTACCTCACCCAGGGCATGCATTGTCCCGTTTCAGCTTCAGCCACCCGTTTTTTATTTCGGGACCCTTTCCAGCGCACGTCATTTTTACACTCTACCCACCCCGGTAAAGTAGCATAGCATCCATCTGTCCCCCAGTTCATTTAAAACCCATGACCTTGGTACTCGCATTTTACCCCTCTGTTACACCAACGCCCACTTGCTTCACAAAACTCTTTGTTTTTCTTCTTCATCTTTCCACATACAATTCTTCATCCTCATCGTGGTTCTTCATCTTCAAATTTTTACCTCGTCAAACACACATCGCGGCACAATTCTAAGATGACCTAGCATCTGTTCTATACGATCTCTCCTCAATGTTAAAATTCGTCAACCTACTTGACCCTGCTTATCAAAATTCCTCCTCACTTTACCACACCAATTCCACGTGCCAGTACTTTTTTCCCACCTCCCCCACCATCATTCACCCGAAGCCACCTAGACAAACCACCTCTACGGCCCCCTTACCAATCCCAACCTGGCATCCGCCAAACTAACATTGGCTTTTCCAGGCCCGTGACTCATTTCTCCCCCAGACACGCCTTAAACAAGTCATGGCTTCTTACAACAATTACTCCATACCCACCACTTCCGTCCCTTGCGCCTCATATTTCAGATACCTTTCCTGATCAACCAACTACTTGCACGGCTCTGTGATCACTACGTAACGACTGACCATGTTGATAGCTACGCTACTACGATCCCAGTTGTCTCCGCATTCAATTTTTAATGAGAAAACAATCGTCTCTTCTTCCCCCCACCCTAGCTAACTCCAGATCGTCTCCTTTCCCCTTCCCCCCCCTGTTGGGGGATAATTTTTCTTCATTGATATCTTCCCCCTATCATGGGACGGCCAGGTATGCTACACTGAAAGTCCACGCCCTCTGAATGAAGCACAATTTCAGCCCAAGCCTTGCGCTCAAGCAAGCGTAACAGTACACCTTATTCACAATGGCTGGGAGTGTTATGCCCACATTTACCATTAGACACGGCGATCGCCGCTATTGTTCCAGTTTCAAATTAAGCTCCTGGAATCGCCCCTCCACCACCCAGATCAGCCTTCCCCAAACGACAAAGGTCCCAGTTTATTCCTCTAGTCCCAACCGCCGGTAAGCGGAGCCACTATTCTCGGCGTACACCCCCCCTCTCACCTGAAACGTCGTAATAAGCCTGACAGTACACAATATAAATACCTCACTACGCTGATATGAAAGCGAGGCTATGACATACCATCCACCACATCTGCCTACTCAACCTCCTATCAGCCCGCGACTACACTGCACTCCTCTCCAAGAACGATCTATTCCACCCATGCCCCAGAAATGCACCTCTTCAACCAGAATGAATTCACACTTGGACAGCTTTGGTCAAATCTTTCTCCCCTCAACACGGTAATACTGTTCCCTTCAGTGTTCTTCATGTTCGGCATGGTTGTGGAGTAGGAGAGACACCTCTCATCATCTCTTCCCCCCCCCCCCCCCCACGTACACACAACCACACAATACCTCTATACACACACTATGGCTTTGTATTTCATGCTTTCCGTCAGTAATCCATGAACGCATTCCTTGGTGGGATCGCGGAACTTTGGTACACACTACCATCACAAAAGGGCATTCACACCCGTTAATAATAAAGTGCCCCCACTAACGTGACTCGAAATTGCTGCTATTCTGGACCCTTGTTGTCTCCTCATAACTAATCTTTCACTCTCGCCGTGACCTATTTCCCCCACGAACGCACAATCAATTTTACGAACATCACGTTGCTCATGGAGCTCGATTTCCTCACCCCAAAAATTCATCCGAATCCTTGGTATCTCCTACCCCCACGGGTATTTGTCTTGTGGTCAGATCTTTTACCTTGTCTGTAGTCGAGCACCATACAGTTCGCCACTTTTGCTCGCAATTTTTACTTTTCCATCCACCCCCACGAGCAAAGGAGCCAACCCCCACCATCGAGCTGTGATACGACGTCGGCTCTAATGAAGTGACTCTCTCCCATAAGCTCTTCAATCTGCTCCACCCCTTCGAGCTCCTAAACCACACACTACCCCTCTTGCACCCGGTGCCACCACTCACCGGGCCATCGGCTCCCTGAACACGATATAGCGCGCGCCCCCTCCCCCTTGCCTGTTTTCTGTTCCACCAGACTCCCCCCCCCCTTTACATGGCTGAATTCCAACTCATCTCACCCTCACACCCCCCCCACGCGACCCGCATCATGCGGTATCTCTTCTGGAACCCAAACCGTCAAGATATTCAGAACACCACTTCCACATTCACAACGCTCCCCCCGTTCAAAACACTTCGCTCTACTTGGGCCATCGTCATGGTTCAGACCAGCCAACACTCAGTCCCTAATCCTATTTCTTCATTGCGCATGACTGAGGATTAACAGCTCGTGCTTCCCTCCCCCATGATCGTCCTCTATAAATTTTTTTTTCGGCCGCCCAACCATGTGATGAAAGTTCTCTCCTCTTCTTACATTTGGGCACCCACCAAACTAATTTCCTTTCTTCCCAAATCTATAATAATGTGGTTTGGTAGCCTAACAACTCCCATTCCACCCTAGCCTTTTAGCACATACTTTACCAAGTCCCTTCCAAAGGTAAACAGATTAAGCTTTCCTCCTCTTTTATCAAAGCTCACTCCTGCCCACTCATTACCCCCACCACCCCCACCCCCCTAGGACCCCATCCTAATCCGCCCACACAGCTTGTACGACCCCTACCGCAATAATCCCCTATCTAGACGCTTCTCGGTCGTTCCCGATACACACACACACCAAGTCACAACTTTGCCCATTACCCCCTCCCCCCCCCTCTCACACTCCCATCTCCCACAAGCCTCATCCCTGTCCAACTACTTTACACGGCCTTCTAGCGAAGGACGGGCGTCCGCCCCCAGAAGCACACACAGTAAATGACACGGATTCCCAACACCCACAGCCACAAGCACCCCTCAACCGTCCTATAAGCCACCGTACCATGAGAGTCGATGCATCACGTACCCTCCCCCTCCCACCTGCTCCCCTCTCCATCCCCCCGCATGTTCCGCCTCCCCCCTTTCTTCCACCCTTTATTCATAGAGCTCACCAACCAACCGCCCCCTACTGGTGCTATGGCCCCTCCCCCTAGGCCATGATTGCTTCCATGTGTTTGTGGCGTCCGCGCTCATCACCATCCCTACTGAACTCGTCCACTTACACCTCTTACACTCCGGTCCTCCCCATACGTTGCTCCTTTCTCCGTCACCACCACTCCGGTCTCCGCCAGCCTCGCTCCCTTTACTCATCCACCACTACCACGCTGAGGACAGGCCACTGACACGAGCAACCGTTTTGCGCTGCCCCGCGGGGGCGGGGGGGGCGGGGCCATCTTGTAGCATGTGTTCGTTGGCATCATACAGACGCACGTGTGTAATTTGATGTGCTTTCAGAATAGCAACCAGATTTGAAGCAGATGGAAGATCAGTAACATCAGTGCCAATGTTTACCCCCACAAATGCACCTACATTAAGAAAGTGATGCTTCATCAATGAAATAATGATACACATTCAACTATTTCCTCCTTGTATCTGCATCTGCATCTGCTCAGTCCTTCTCCTTACTTACCCAGTTTTTGTAGCAACTAAGCAGAAAATAGTACCATTCATATGTCAAAATTTATGTAAAGGTTTCAAACTATAAAGTAGGTTTCAAAAAACACAGTCCACAACTTCGATTTTGGCAGCAACGCCAAGGTTTTTAGGAGCTTTTACGAAATTTGTCAAAATTCTTGAAATATCAAAACTTGTGACAAAATCATGATTCAAAACCTTCAAAATCAGAAGGTTTAGTAGATCAGCAAGCAAACCATAAAATAGAAAAAGGTGAAATTGTGATTTACCTAATGCATTGCTCACTGTGGCAACAATGAGGAACAAAACACTTGTGAGCCACCTTTCAAGCTTCATCCCTTCCATAAGCAAAGCCTCAACAATGAAGGCTTCAGCAACAAAAAGAAATAACATCTTTAACAGCTAAAATTGTAACTAACAGGTATATAGCATTTGTACCAACTACAAACTCAAGACTCCAACAAACAATGAAGTCGAAAAGAAAACCCAAATGCACATGTTTGTAACTGCATTTTGATGAATGAACAAGCTTTACTATTTACCATCTTTTTGTTTGTTTTTTCATGAAGAAATCAAAACATGGGTGTATATGAAAAATTGTAAATACCTGAGAGAATGTGAAAAGATGAATGTGATGGAGGGAAGTGGCAATGAATACTTCACTTGATCACAGTTTTTGAGTTGAGTTTTGTGTTGTAATTGTCTTTTTCCCTCCAAACCCCAAAAGTCATTCATTAATTTTTCTACTCTTTTCTTGTGCAATCGTAGTCCTAAATCAGTGAGACATGTCTCACTGTTCATGCCAAAACTAAAAAGGAGCCGAAAGGTCAATAACGCGTAATTAATATATATATATATATATATATATATATATATATATTATTATTATTATTATCACTTACTCATTTTTGGCTTCTTCGCCTTCCTATTAGCCAAGCTATACACATACTGTGAGACCCTGAAAAATTAACTCTGTAAATTACCTGTCATATCACCATTAATGCACCCCACAGTCAATGCTCATTCTTTTAAAAACCCACTCCCAACTCTGGTAATTTTCTCTATCTGCTGTGCACGGAAAACTGAGCCACAATCATTCCTCTGCCACATTAAAAACGCACCAATCTTTGCATGCACGCACGCCACGTGTTGCGGAAGAAGCTTCCAATTCAGAGTTTGGTGTGCAGGTGTCGACGTGAGAGACGTTCGTTCAAACGAACGTTAATTTAACAAAACTGGATTTGAGAAAAACTCTCTCTCACCTGCACCACTCACCTTCTTCCTCACGAAACTCACCCTTTCATCTTCTCCAACTTCTCTCTAAGAACCCTTAACTTCTCTCTACTGGAAAACTCACATCTCTTCTCCGATCACGTTTGCAGCACCGTAAGAGTGTTCGTCCTGCTGTCATCTTCCTTCTGGACCGAACAGCTTCAAGAACTGAAACTGGTAAGTCCCCTTTCCGTAGTTCGTCCTTAGGTTTCTGGAAAAATAGGGTTTTTAGTTGCATGCAAGCATGTATTCTAAGTGTTATGTATTCCGTGGTTAGATTTTTGTTCTAGAAGAGTCAAGAACCTAAGCAAAACGCAGTTGGACGAAGCCATTTTTACATCTAGGACAAGTTTGGTTGCCAATCCGGGTAAGGGAAGCTTATATGTTTAATTTATACTTGCATGTTGTATGATCTGACTTGGATGATTAAAACGTATGTTGATTGATCTGTCTTGAACGAGCACTGCTTGAATGAATTATATATGTTTATGGTGGTTTAAAATGCATGTTGATTTGGATATGTATGAACGGAGTATGACTATTGTATAGTTGGAATGATTAAAATGAGGAGATCTGTATGATGATGTTAAGATGATTTAAATTGGAAATGAAAGTTATAAAGTTTATAAATTTGAAAATGATATGAAGCATAAAGTATGAATCTAAATGTTGAAATCTGGAAATCTGTTAATGTTGGAAAACCTGAAACTTAAATCGTCCCCTTTGATAAATGACGCTCGTCACCGTACGGTCTTAGACCGTTCAGTTTTCCTTAAAATAACTTAGAATGGAATTCTTTCATTTGGAAAGAATTCTGCTCGAGAACGAGCGTCCCCATTTGGATGTCTGAGCGTTCGGTTTAGCTCAGCAGTATTTAAATATTTAAAACTTTATGAATACGTTACTCTCGGTCCCCCTTATACCGAGCCGTTTTCGTCCTCCAAGAGCGCTCGGTCTCATACAGAGCGGTGGTTTTTCGTTTCCTGATACGCTCCGTTCTTAATCCGAACGTTCGTCCTGAATGGGGCGCTCCGGTTTCATATGAGCCCCGTTGTCCTAAGATCACCGCTCGGCCCTTTTGCCCAGCGTCGCCATGAATGGTGTGCTCGTCATCAATAACCGAGCGTTCGCGTTAATAACGTGTTCGATCTTCTTAATCGAACTTTCGTTCTTACTTTAATTCCTTTACCGAACGTAAATAAGCTGTGGGGGGGGGGGGTGGTCGTCCAAACATTGGAAAAAAATTATATTTGCGCTTTCGGTCATTTCGGTACCTGTTCCTTTCGATTCAAAGTTTCCCTATATCTTCAAATATCTCCTTATGCCTATTCCTCCTAATTTGCAAGCATAATTCTATTCCTAACTTCTCCTTAGTATTTAAAATTATTCTGGAACTTGGTCCCCTTATTAATGCCTGGAAATCTTTAGAATTATTATGGTCCTTCCTCACTTTACTTTTAAAAAACGTTCGTTCCCTCTTCCCTCAAGTAAATTAACGTTCGTCTTTTTTAAGAGAGTGGAAATAAAGAAACTAGTATACTATTAAAGGATAAAAAATTTGTTTTGGAACACTAATTAGTTGGTTATATGATTATTGTAATTTTTAACGAGCGTTCTATGGGGAACTTCCTCAGATGTGTTAATTTAAATTTGGTAAGTAAATTAATATGGACAAGTTAGGACCAACTCGCGTCCCTAGCCCTGATATTCCGTGATACTCATCTTCACGTAGAAAGGGGGGTTAATTTCCCATGTGTGGGAATGGCAGGAGTCCTTTAGTTTCAACTTCGCGTTGTTATGGGACGAACGGAGTACCTCGCTTGGGCAGCTGATGGGTATATCCCCTCTACTAACACACTCGGGTTGCACAAAGGACGCTTTGTTAAACTACAATTGGTTCAAAATACCAGTCCTGACCGGTCTTGTCTTATACATATTATATACCTATTTTTCTATTTTTCTTCTATGAATCCGTTTTACTTGCTGTAAATGTGTTGACCTGAAAATGTTTAAAAATGTTATGTGTGTTGTAAATGAATGTTCAATATTAATAAGCCTTACGCTTTGCATTTCCCAATGTGTGTGTCTCCTGTAATATGTACTTTTTCGTCTTGTCTTGCAATGATCATCCCGTGTGGATGTGAGGGCAGATGGTGGTTGGCAAATCTCTTTGAAGAAAATGCTAGAAGAAGAAAAAATTTGGAAGACCTCAAAATCTTGGTGGAAGTTTTGAAGTAAAGGCCGAGACCTAAGCGATCTCGTTAAAATTAGGACTGTAAAATAATAGTGTAGCCCTTGAACGTTTTCGGCTACGTGTTTTTTTTTTGTGGAAGCAGCCCCCGTTCCCGTCCTCATTATCTCTACGTTCTGTTTTGAACGTACGTTATTTTAATCAAGAACTGTGTTTTTTTTTAAGTTTTTTCCCCCCCCTTGTATGCGTTTATGTCGCGTTTTCTTTTTCCTGAAGCCGTTCGTCTCTGTAACTCCAATTACATGTATTAAAGACCCTGCATTGCCTTACTGTTTAATTTGTAAATTATTCGAATATTTATGGTTGAGTAACTGTATGTTTTGGGAATTTACACATACATTAGAAATAAACACAAAATTCAGAGTCTTTTTGACCAAAATTTTAAAATTAATAATAAAAAAAACCCATCTTTTTTAATTTTGATAAATTTATCCCAAAAAGCAGTTTTGAAAAAGTAATTTTGTTACAAAATCGAGCGTGACTTACAGAACCAATTATAATATTTTGGTTGTATCGAGAAGCTAAAACCAATTATAGATTTTGCAAAATTGCCAGGCGTTCATATAGTGTGGGGAAGGATAGTAACGTGACTCGAAATTCAAAATGGACAAATAGGTAGTTTTGGAATTAATCCCGAGGGAATCGAGCATAGAAACAATAAGTCACTTTGGTTTGTTAAGTGTTTGAAAGTTTTTTTTCCCCTCTCCTGACTTCACGATGTCAACACTGTCAAAAAGTTTAACTTATTTTAATATTCCTTGTTCCTCTTTCTGAACTGATAAGCCCCCACAACGCGGCCCAAATAACCCGTTCAAATTACGGTACTTTATATCTAAATTTCCCATAAAACATAAAATAACCTAAGTACAAAATATTATTATCTCAACCCATTCAAATCAAAATTTCACCATGCAAAATCCTTCCAACTTTCAATTAGATCTAAACAACCACTCTCCTAGCCTTATTATACACCCGCTTTAGTCCCAATATTAAAACCCCTAAAATTAAAATTTTATCTTTTCTTACCTTTCCCAACCAAACGTTTTTCTTTTTTTTTTTCTTCAATTGTTACGTTTTCTCATACACAAAATCCCTTTAATCAAAAGAATTAATTATTTCACTAAAAGTTGTTTTCAAACAAAATATATATGGAAACCTAATGTATAAGTGAAAAGAAACTCTAACCTAGAACAATTCTCCCAAACGAACAATAGATTATAATAATCGTATGTTTTTGTCCCCTTCCTCTATTAAAATTATTCTCTTTATTATAAAGAATACTATCTCCCTTTTGAACAGGTAGCTTTCACACTAATTTACTTTTTTGTTTCTTTTCCTCTAAAACATGTATAAAAGGGATTAATGCCTTTTTGCCCCCTCGGGTTGTTGTCACTCTTCCCCCTTGGTTTCCTAAGTTTTTAAATATCGTTTTCCACTTTAATTTTCGACTATATATATTTTTTCATACTGTTTTTCTTATTGTAACAAGATTATTGTTAAAATGGAATTTGTTTATTCTATCGTTTACAATTTAATTTTTATACATTATAAATTTTTTTTGACTTTTTTTTTGTTAAAAAGTAAACTAATAGTAAAGAAAAGGGTCCAAATGGTGTGAACTAATATATTTTAAAAGTTTCTTTAATTATTTTAACTCTTACTAAAGAGAACACAAAAAATTTAAAAATTTATAAACCCATATGAAAGAAAAATACTCAATGCTTCCCTTATTTAACACTATTAGTAATTTTTTTATAATAAATATTCGTCATCAAATATAATGTTTTTTCATGAAAAAAATACTTCTTATAAATCTAATAATTTGTACATTTAACATTCAATATATTTTGACTAGGATTGTTTTTCTCTTCCAAATAACTTTAGTTTTACTTCGTTATAAAAGAATCAAAATATTGATAATGCCTTAACTCATCATGTGAATGAAGTTCCCCTAGGACTTTGGAGATTAAAATATTTTTTAAAAATATAATTTTAAGTTTATTAAATTATATAAGGTTTATACCCAATTTTTTTGGTCTCCCAGGTTTGGTCTTTGAAATTCCCTCAATAATAGTCCCTCTTTAGAAAGAATTGTCAATGGATCCTTCAGTTGTAATTATGTTGTCAGTTAGTCCCCCTTCCGTTAAAGATAAAAAACGGAGTTAATGGGTTGATGATGTTTGCCCCAGTAGAGAATGTGGGTTATGTGTCCAACAGGCAATTTTTTTTGCGTGCTTCGTGGTTGTTTTTAAGGGCAGCTGATTTTTTAA